TCGAGTAAAGCTGTCACTGCCAGAGGTGAAGATTAAGATATGCTGTGCTACTCGTGGTTATTTTCCTTTCAATTTGGAGATTAACACTGTGCCTACACTCACCAGTGTAATGACTGAAGTGCAGCCCCTTCTTCCTGTGCCTGACTGTTGGCCAAGCAGGTAGGATGAGGAAGGGGTGCAGAACAGGGGTGGCACAGAGATTTACCGTGTGAGCAGCTCTGTCTTGGGGGACATGATTTCCAAGTGAGCTGCTGCAGGCTATCTGTGGGCCATCATCAAGTCGAAAATTACTGCAGGAGGCTGTGGGGTGGAGGCTGTGTGCTGTTGGTTTAGCCCCCTTACACCTTTGCATGGGAAGCTCTACTCCAGGAGATGCAGTGTGGTCCCAGATCTGCCTGTTGGGGAGACATGGAGAGCATGGAAACCACAAATCACAGCTGCTGTTAAGTCCCGCAGATGTGTTTCACTTTAAAAGAAGCCAGAGTAACAAATTTTGGTTTGCCTTAACAACCACAACTGAAACTTTTTGTTTCTGTCAGTCTTAATATGTTGAACAAATGCAGATTTTTGTGTTAAAAATTGTATGCTGTAGTCATTTTAGTAAAGCATACTGCTATTTTTAAATTATTTTTTAAAGAATTCAGATTTTTGCTCAGGTGTGATGATAAGCATGGATGATTACTTCAAGATATGGAAAAATAGCAATTTGCAGAATGTAGCATCAGGGACAAGTTACATGCGTGTTTGTTGTTTTGGATTTGTGGTGGTTTTTTTGCTGTTTTTTTTTTTTTTTTTTTTTTTTTTTTTTTTTTTAAGGGAATACTATTTTACTATCATAGATACAGCACCGTACTTCTTTTCCCAGTGTCTCTAAAGCTAACATGTCCAACACGAAAAATACATATATATTTTAATCTTTTCAAATTTTAACTGGACCCTTACTTGCTATATCTGAACATACTAAAAAGCACGATATCTGAGGTAGTTTCTTACTATCAGCAGAGGGAAGCCTGAGTAATGCACGTAATTTTTTAAAATATTCAAACAAATAAATGTCAATCTGTGGGATACATACTAAGTGCATTAATTAGCTAGAGACAAACAACAGGAATTCTGCAGTCTGGAGAATGTACTTATGTTTTACACTGACCAACTCCCTTCCAGGGAGGTAACTTTAAAAGAGGGAGAGATTATTTATTACTGTCTTCTTGCTGAAAGCAGTGATGAGGAAACAATCTAGTGCTGCATTTCTGGTCTGCTTGAGTTTTTTATCCTCACCTGGCTGGGGTCTGTTCTCTCCTTGATTAGTTGTTAGACTTTATTTTTCTCTGATGTTTTTGTCTAACTGCTACTTAAGATGGTACTGTGAGTCCATTGCAGGATTTCTGGTGCAAGAGGAAACTGAGCATGATTATAGCCCTAGTACACCATCACATGATATGAAGGTTTTGTAATCAGGAGCCTATTTATTTATGACAGATTTTTGAAGATCCAGTTAAAAATGTCCAGATTTCAAAGAAGCTTAGAAGGCAGAGTTAAGGCAGTCTGCCAGAATTATACTTTGGACAGTATTAATTTCATAGTGATATATTTTGGCTTGTGCCTCATAGAAAATGATTGAAGCATCAGAGAGCTTGGACAAGTCCAAGACTGCATTCTCAACAGGGACACGTGTCCACTTCCAAGACATCCCATAGCCAAGACCAACAGGGCCTCTTTATTTTGGGGAGCCATATAATAAAGGCTGGAATAGCTTGTGTGCTGCAGGAGTGAGTTATGTGTTCCCATTGTGGCAGCCTGTGATTAGGAGGAGCCAGGTTTCCTCCTCACGCAACTGAGAGCAGAAAAGCCCTGCTCCTCACACAGCGATCAGGTTACTGGCTGTGGAGCACAACCATGACTCAGTAACCACTCCTGCTGATGCTGCAGCCCCAGCAGTAACCCAAAATGAAACCCCAGCCAGAAATCGATGCATGAATCAATGTAGTTAATTTTCTTCTACTCTTTTTCTTCTTATTATTATTATTATTATGCAATGAAAACATATAATTGGATGCCAGAGCCAGCTGTTTGAATCAAAGGCTATACTTTCTTCCTCTCAGTAAAGATAACGTGAGTCCTTCTATTTTAAAATAGTTACTGAGCAGCTTACTGAGAAGACCTGAATACTTGATGCAATTGTAGAGAATTTATTCTACTGGGGGAAATTCTTAGGGGGAAATTCTTTACAAGGAGAGTGGTTAGGCCCTGGAACGGGCTGCCCAGGGAGGTTGTGGATGCCCCGTCCTTGGACGTGTTCAAGGCCAGGTTGGACGGGGTCCTGGGCAACCTGATCTAAATGTGTATGTTTGGTGGCCCTGCTAGGCAGGGGGGTTGGAACTACATGATCCTTGAGGTCCCTTCCAACCCGGGTGATTCTGTGATTCTGTGATTCTGTGATTCTGTGAAAACTTACCGTTTCTATGACCTGGAAGCATAGCATTAAAAATCACTAAGCCAGCTCTGTTTACTCAACGCTATGTCAGGTTTTCCCTCTCTGGCTGATGACCAAATCCACTCAGAGAAGATAAGGGGTCTGTCTAGGGAGCCTTCTCCAAGGAGCAGAGCTCCATGGGCATCTCTGCCTACCCAGACAAAATGATGTTCTCTGAAGATATTATAATCAATAAGAATTTCCTAATTTCAGAGGAATGTGCTTGATTTTGTTTCTTATACTTACCACAAAAACCTTGATTTAAATTTTTACTGAGAGTCTGGGCAAGGGATAAGGTCCTGAATACTTCTACACTGACTCAGTGTTCAGTTAAGGCCAACCTGTCAGTTGGATAGGTCGTTATCAACTGAATCTTGAACAGATTTATGATCTTGGCTACTCCAATGCTTCGAGAACTGGAAAAAGCAGAACTTGAAGAATTTATTGTAAAAGATGTCCTGCTGAGCTACTGAACTTTAAGGAAGATGGTAATAAGATAAAGAATCCTTTATCATCATCTTCCTCAGAGATTTATGAAGGGTGGTATAAAGCAGAAGACAAAGTTGTAAGTAGGAGTTTAAAATTAGGGATGAAATTGCAGTTATCCACAAACAGATTATAAAATACTGAGATGAAAACATAAGTGTAGGTTGGACAGGTTCTTGAATTAAAAAAAAATAAACAAAAACCATTTTCAGGCTGATGAATGTGCTTCAGAGTAAATGTTCATTAAAAAAAAAAAAGTACTGGAAAGAACAAGGTTGGAGTATGAAAGGAGGATTGCAGGAAAGTTCAAAGAAAAGGGCCGTTTAGGCGGCATTTATGTTTGTATATCAGATGAGGTATGGAAGATTCATGAAGAAACAAATAAACAAAACAAACAAACAATAAAAACCCCCAAATTTAATAAGCCCCACCAAACCACATAGACTTAGTACTTTGAAATTTAGAGCACTTTTAGAGAACAGGCTTAACAGTTTGCCAAATTCAGAGTGCCGTAGCTGTTCGTGAAGAATAGTGCTTGGCTCACAGCTCTGCCACACGTGGATGTGAAGTTGCTAGCTGTCTTTTAGGAACAGCATTTGGGAGAAATGGGAACCTCTATTATCACAGCACAGGTCTGTAAATCTACAGTCAAAGTCTAAGTGAAAAAATGTTTTAGTTGCATTTCCTCTTTCTGCTCCATTCTCAGCAGAGGATGTATCCATAAGCAGTGGTTTAGCACCTAGTGAATAGAGATCAATGAATACAGGGAATGAGTTTATATATTCTTAGAATTGTAAGCTGGAGAATGGAAATATAAATTAAATCTGGATAAATTTTAAAAATATATTGTAGAATGTTTAATTGCTTTGAATTATGAATTTTATCTGTTATCAGTTGTTTAAACTGAATATGTTTAAGGAGGCAGAAGTAGAGACTGGAACAGGAGAGGGATAGATTAAAGAATATTCAGATAAGATGGATGTATTGCAGTCAACAGGACCTGATGGAGTTCACCCCGGAGTACTTAAAGCGCTGTCTGAAGCAATCTCTGAGCCATTAGCGATTATCTTTAAGAACTCATGTAGGAGAGAGGAGGTCCCTGAAGACAAGAGAAGGGCAAATACAGTGTATTAAGTTTTAAAGAGGGGAGGAGGACCCAGGGAATTACAGGCCTGTCAGTCTAACTTACGTCCTTACAAGATTCAGGAAGAAATCATTAAACAATCAATTCAAAAGTATCCAGCTGATATAGTGATGGGAGAAAAAAAAAAAAGAAAAACAAAGAAAGAAAACATAGGCTTGTCAAGAACGATTGGTGTCAAATCAATCTCATTTCCTTCTTTGTCACAGTAGCTTGTCTGGTGAATAAAGAGGAAGCAGCAAATGCAACAGTGCTTGATTTTAGCAACACTTTATGACATATATGACAGGCTAAGGAGTATGGTATAGATATAATTACAATAGGGTAGGTGCATAGCCAGTTGAAAAATAGCTCTGTAGCAACAGCTAGTGCTGGATCACTGTCAGGAAGGATATTTCAAGTACGTAATTCAGCAGCTTGTCTTATGCTCCATTTTATTAAATATGTATTTTTTAAAGCTGAAGAACAAGTAAACAAGTCTACAATTACGAGATGCTGCAAGACTAAGGAGGCCACAGTCTGAATATGAAATTATCCCTACAGCTCAGGGAAATGATTCCTGAATATTTGAAAGAAATTTCATCAAGAACAGTCTAAAATGCTGTGCCCGGGAAGGTGAGAAGCAGAGACAACATGTGATGGTGGGGAAATAAATGGGCAGCAGCATGTTTGTAAAAGACGTGATGATTGCAGGGAACCATGAATTAAATGTCCTGGGTTATATGAAGAGGATTGCTGTTCCTGAGAAACAATTATTTTCTTGTCTTTGCTTCACTTGTGGTACTGCATCCAGCTGTTGGTGTCATGTTTTGCTGCAGATGAAGAGGAAACAGAAAATACAAGAAAAGCAGAGAGCAGAGCATAGAGTACTGGGAAGCAAGAACCATGAGGAGATGCTGAATTGTGAACTGGGTATGTTTATTTCAGGAAGGAGAAGGCTGAAAGAGAAACTTAACAGCAGACTTCCAGTGCATGTCTGTGTGTAAGTGTGTATATATATATACTGTGACACGTATACATACATACATATATATACATATATATATATATATGTATGTATGTATGCGTGTGTGTATATGTATATACATATATATAAAATGAAAATAAGTGATGGCTATGAACAAGGAAGTGGCACATCATTCTCTTTGATCTCAGAGAGGATAACAAGCAGAAATCGTCTTATTTTAGTACTTAATGTCAGAGTGAGAAGAGTTGGCACAGTCTTGCAAAAATGCTTCTTGCCGCTTGTTTTTTTTTCTCTTTCAGAAAAGTCAGACAGTGCCTGTTGGGAGGCCCTGGCGCTGCTTCAGAGCAGGGAGCTCATTCCATGAGGTTTTGTACAGTCTTACATTTTTGCTCAGGAAAAAATGCAAAAATGTTCTTATCTCTAGAGTTTCCATTTTAACACTGCTTTGACTATGTGCCAGAAATTGTTTGATTTTATATTCTTACGTTGCTCACCACAAAAATGTCAACATTTTTTCTCACTTACCATCCTCTGCACTGAAGATACTGCAGTATTTTAGTTCATAATAAGCCAACTGGTCCATTACTTGTACTCTGTGAATATCAGTTGCTGCCTGCTTTCGGCTCTCCTTCGTTATCCATGGCAGCATCACTCCAAACCTTATTTCAGAAAAGACAAAAGCCAAAATACTCTTATATAAATATTAAAAGAGAACACTGTGAAAAGGGATTATCCAAGAATCTGCCCACAGAGAAAGAAGCAGAGCAGATTCTGGCATTATAACCATCTTATTGCAGATGTCCAGCAGAGCACAGTCTTAGCACTCCATTAAACAGATTCTGATACAGGTGAAGATTCAGAGCTTTTTCTTGTGCTGATGCCAACAGGTTCAGTAACTAGCTCCTGGCTAATCCCGGGACAAGAAAGAGATGAGACTGAGGTGTCTGTGGGACCAAAATTACTCCAGAGGAGAATGGGAACTGCCCTGTTCAGACTGACCACATGGGTCATTGGTGGTGATCACTACCTTGGTGACTTTCTTTGTGCCACCTAATGCAACTCAGCCAAGTCCATTCTTGAAGTGATGTATAGGCTACACCACTGCCATGAGAAGTCATTGATTATAGGGTACATTAGCAATAATATCACAGTTAACATTGGATGGTTTGTTAGAGCAGCAAACACCCTCCGCTTTGCTTTCAGCTATTAATTAACCAACCAGTCATTAACTGCTGCTAACAATTGATTTGCAGGGAATTATCGCTTAAATAGCGGGAGGTATTTAAGAGGAAAATAAATTAAAACAAAGAACTGCTGGATCCTTGGGCACAGAAAGGACTCCTTGTAATATACAGAATGGCTGCTACAGCCCTATAATTACAGAGTGATAAACAGTCATTGGGAAGTGCGTTCCTTTCCAGAGACAATGACATTATGTCTCCTGGAAAGAAACCCCTTTGTCTGCACTAATTGAATGATCTGAAATGAATGATGTTATCAGAAGCCTAACCCAGGCAACTAATGTTATATTTATGAGTTATCAAAAATGTTTAATTGCAGCTGCAGTCTCTCCACGAAGTGTAATGGACACTATAGCATCCAAAAGTATGATTGAGAGCTGCTATGGCACATTGTCTTAATTATCATGCAGAATTACAAGTTCTTCAGTTGGTTCTGCCTCCCTCTGCACTGGCAGAACAAGTGAGATCTATTAACCCAAGTGCGAATGAACACCGCCTCCTAATGACATTTTTTCCTCTCTGTGGGCAGAGAGAGGGATTGGAGAGGTTGTATAATGTTTTTCCCCTAGAAAGTGAGACATAAATCAATGTACACTGCTTGTATCACCTGTGACCACACTCTCAGCTCCTCCTGCTGCAACTGCCTGCACAAGTGCCACCAAGTTCAACACCTGGCTTGACTTAGAAGGAATCACCACGCACTTCAGAGCATGTTTACCATTTCCAAGTTTAACCATGTTTCACTGCCCTCTCCTGGAGCCAGAGGCTGAATGCTTGTCTGTCTTTTGGGCCGTGTACTGCAGCATTAGCAAAGATTTAATGTGAAGGGAGAGGACTGCTGTTCCTTCAAATCTGAAGTTATGGGACAAAGATAAAGTGGGAAAGTATTGCTGGAAAAGATTTTGTGGATACATGTCAGTTTTCCCCCTCAATCTGTCTTTTTAGGAGCAAATTCTGTGAAAAGCCTACAGAAATTTGACCCGGGGAAAAACAGGGGTCTGCCCATGGTGGCTCTGGGGTAACCGCCTGAGAGGCTTCTGAAGTGTTCAATTATAATCTCCATTCTTGTTTCCAGTGTTCATACACACTGCAGGAATTTCCTGTCCTGCAATGAATGCAGACTTTCTGACTAGAATTTTAAACTCTTAAGGTTTCTCTTGTTTGTCTCCAGCTGATTTGGTGAGCATAGATTTGTTTTGGCTGTGTCAGGGGCATCTTGGAAAGGAATGTCCATAGTGACCTCTTGCTTTTGACAGCTCCTCTGCCTTTTCCTTATACAGACTTTTTGATTATCCGTAAAATAAATATCTACTTATAAAAGGCTGTAGAAAACAACAGAAATTGAGCAGAACTTGGCTCTGGGATATTTTGTGTTTCTGTACCCTACTGATCTTGCACAGCTGGATCTCAGTATATTTCAGTACCAGGAGGTGGCAGTGGTAAGCGGTACTAGACTGGAACAGAAAACTAGTTCATAAAACCTCTGATGATGCAAAGTATGACTACAGCTGTGTGAACCTATGCAAAGATCTCTGCATCCCTTTTGGTTTTACTTAGCAGCCTGCAGAGGATGAGAGATAGTCCCTTTCCAGCCAAATCCTCAGTTTAGTCACAAAAAGGCATTGCAGGAGTTTTATAGGTTATATGGTATGGAAAGATGAGCTGCTGCTGGCAAGGAGAGCATTGTGATTCCCTTACAGTATTTGAGAACATTATCAAGCTCGGGTCAGATAACAGTACTTTATCCTCCTAAAACACACTTGAGAATGTTTTGGCACTCCTGAGGGAGGCAGAATTTAAAAGCTACAGCACATTTTTTTAGACTAAGGGTTCTGTTTTGATTGTTGAAGTCAGTAAATGACAAAAGTATCTTCATTTCCTCAAAAGATGGCAGTGCTTGGTGTCTAGGTCCAAGAGAGTCCTGGGGCAAGATAGATGCTCAGCCTCTTAGAAAAGGGAATTCACCAGAAAAGGGAATTACTGTTTACAGTGTTTATTAGACTCTGTTGTGTGGATGTTGATACCTTGCAAGATATCAGAAGTTGTCCACTTGAAGAACTACAAACTTATTTTTCAGAAATCATGCATGCAAGCAAGGGAATGATCCAAAGTGGAGAATAAAAGAAAGGATTGCACAAACAGATGTTGGCCTGCCTCGGTTTGGATTCTGATGCACACCATTACAGTGATACTGCCTGTCATGGAGCAAAGTAAGTTAAATTGAAAAGTCTGGAATCACTGTTGTGTGCATGTTCCTCCCTCGAAGCTGTGAGGAAGACCAGTGATAGCCCATCTCTACTGAGGACAGGGTTTGCCTCTGTTTCCAAGAGCAAAGAGGCAGCATTTCTTTGAAAATGTGAAAGGTGCTTGCCATAACTCTTGCTTGAAGAATTTTTGAGATACTAGAAATATGTTGTTCAAACCTCCCCTCTGTCTAAGAAGACTTAAAACTACGTTCTTGGTCTCCTAAGAGAGTTTCCAAGCCATAAGAGTGTAAACAAGAGATGTCTACCTCAAAGCTCACTCCAAAGCTCACTCTAGTGCTTCCTAGTTTCATTTCCTAAGACCAATGGGGCATTAACATGAGTACCAAAAAAAGGTACCTGTGCACATACTCAGATGTGAATCTTTCCAATAGAAAACCTTCTTCCAGTGATTTGCTTTCTTGGGCAGACCTAACCTGGGTACCTCAAGCTCAGCCATGCATGAAGCTTATTCTGATATGCCTGAGGAGGAAGATCTAGCAGGAAAACTAAATCAATTGTGGGATATTGGAGGATACAATATTTTTAGGCAGTTGATGTGGCAAATTTTGATTGGCTGTACCAATTTCTTCTCATTACGCAGGCTATATGTAATGGTGGTGCAAACTGCCCTAGGCCTGGGAATAAGCTGGTTCTTGCTTTTCCTATTTTAGCTCTGTGTGAGAGTGTAAAGGAACCAATACAGCTAATAAAACAGTGATTGATTTAGTCTGTCTAGTGATGGTTGTCTCTGATTTTATCACCAGCTTTTCTCAAAGCAGTTACCATAGTAATGAAAAATATCTGCAAGGTCGTAGAGATTTTTAGGGACAACAAATGTACAGTACAGTGTCCAAGAAAAAGTGATTAAATGGAAGCCAGCTAGGTGTTTAACTTAAAGGAGAACGCTTTGCCGAAACATTCAGCACAATTCAGTTTTTATGCAGTAGAAATTGACCTACCATTTATTTAATGTCATCTTTTTTCTGGCATTTAATCAATGTTAATTGATCTTTATTGTTCTTAATTCAACTTAATGACGTGTTGTGTGTTTTAAACAGCCATATAGCTGATGAAGGAGATAGAACAATTACTTTATTGTTTTTCTGTGTTGTCATTTAATTAGTATATTTTTTTTAGTTCAGTTTTACTTTGGAATTACAAATTGAAGTATCTTAATACTCAGAGAAAATAAGAAACTAGGAAAGCTGCTAAAATATATGCCAGAGTAGCAGAGTAGCAACATTTGAAGTAAACTTATTTTATGTTCCTTTCTGTCAGATGAGGAGTTTTTGGTGGATATTGGAGAATTTAGGTCAAGCTACAGTAGACAAAGACTTTGAATAGAATTAACAGCAATTTGAAGGCCCCTGTTACTTTACAGGCTCCAGATTCTTGAGTGAGCTTTTTGTGAGATGCTGTGAAGTCAAGGATAACTCAGGGACCTGCCAGTGATACAAGTTATCTCCTTTCCTTCTTTGTTTTTAAAATACAAAAAGCATTTGTTCACCCTTTCCTTAAATACCAGTTTAAAAAAACAAATGAATGTTTCAAGGGTCTGGTGAGCGCAGGAAGGGATTATAGGAAGGGACTATAGGAAGGGCTGTTAGCAGTTCTGAAGATGCCTGAGAAGACTTTCCTTGCTCAGAGCTATGTGAAATATTTGAGCAGAGGAGAGAGGAGAAGGCTGACATTTGGATTAAGAGTTGTTGAGCACTAAGTGTTTTTGAGACTGAAGATCTGGCAGTAAATAAGGTGAACTGAAGTGTATCTTATCTGTTTGGCTGAGTTTCCAGGGTTCACAGGTCACTCGTCCAGGAAGTAGACTGATTGCTGAGGGAGGAGTGGGGCTGGAAAAATATTTTCTTACCAAGGATGCTTTCACAGGTGCTCTTCCCTTTTTGTTGATTATTCCCAAACTTTTTTTTCCTCCAGCCGTGTAAGGCTCACCTACATCTGGGTGCCAATGCTTGCTCCTGAAAGGTGAGGTTTTGATGAAATGTCAGTTTGGTTTGGTTTGGTGTTTAGCTGTCTGGGGATAATCCAGCACCTCTAACTAAAGATTGATTGTCTCACCAACAGGATTTTTTTCAAGCCATCTCACAGCGTTCAATTACAATGCAGTATGTTCAACTTCTGCATGCAGAAAATCTCACTCTTGGGAGTGATCATGTACGTTCCAGTCTCCTGTCCACAGGGGCTGAGCAGCTTCACCATGCAAGCAATGCTGCCGCACCAGCTCAGTTTGATATTTCAGCTGTAGCTGGTATGGTTCAAGCAGCAGTGAATGAATGAGGGGAACACTCCCACATGCCTTGTTCTCCATCCAAGGCTGCTTGCATGTAGAGATCACTTTGCAAGTTAACACTCGCTGTTTAGTACATAGAAGTGAGGGGGCCCTTTTAAACACCTGGTTCACATCTTTGTGCACAGATTCTTTTCCCAAGATAAAGATCTTTTGACATTGAATGCAGGAAGCTTCTCTTGTCACCTAATGAGCAAGCATGAAATTCACATGAATCTAAATGTGCCTTGGGAATTATCAAAATATTTAAAATAAATAAATAAATAAAGCACGTGATGTGAAACTGATTCAAGAAGTGCCCAGCTACCTGCCCAGGTGCTAGCCTAAAAAGACTTCACAATCCTGTGAGCAAGCAGCGTGGGGCTTCTGTAGGTTCACATTAAAGCTTGCAAGGCATTGTTCTGAAGTGTTGCTGACTCTTCCTTCTGTTCATCACAGATCTCATTAGGAAATGAAGGAGAGGAAACTGGGCAACCATGCTGCTCGGCCACGAAGCAACGCACAATGAGGATAATGAAGCCAGCAGCTGCAGGACAATGGGAGCAGGCTGGGGCTATTTTTGTTAGATGTGAACAATCAATTGAACATGTGAGACCTTATTGTGCTCTCTCCCCACCTTCTCCCCCTTTCTCAAATGCTGGAAATTTTCCCAGAGAGAAACGGCTTTCCTTTTCTCTTTGTAAAGCTGATTATCATCATAATTTTCTCTTTCATCTCCAAGCAGGTTTCTTGTGGAAGTCTTTGGCAGTTTCCTCTGATCACAGTTGTTTGACTGTGTGGGAGTGATGTGTGTCTGTGCCACACCAGGCACCAGTAGGCCTTGGGCAGCATTCACAGCATTTAGGGGGGTATGAGGGACCCCTGACTTCTCCATGGCTGTGCGCAGAGGATGGAAACATTGCAACAGAGTTATCCTCACAGCAAAAATGTGAGTTTGGACAGGGCACAAGTTTCACAGATGGAAAATAAACAAGTGTTTGCATCTGCAATGCATTCAGAAAAAATATAAAACTAAGGTGGTACTCATCACTGCAAGTCTGAATTGCCTCTGTCTTCATGACTTCCCTGTCAGAGCAGCCCTTTTCAATGTGCAGCTACATTAGCTCCAGCCTACAAATGGTAACAAATGCAAAGACATAGACCTGTGATTCATGTTGTTAAGTGAGAAGGAAAGAAAAAGCATAATTTGGTCTCTCTCTAAACAGGAATACATTCTTCCTTAATGCTAGGATATAAATGTATAACCCCTCCCCAAAACAGTAATGTTCTATCTATATCTTCTCAGTGTTCTGTGTGTCAGTAGCAGATATACTACCTCGGATTCTCATGCTTCATAATTATGAAAGGAATATTAATTTAGAAATGGGCTTTTCTAACATCTGATATTTCATGCTTACACTGAAGCAGCACTTAGAGATTTTGCTATTAATGTTTTTCATTTTGAGTTGTTCATTGTGCAAATCTTTTTCCCTTTGTGAAGCAGCCTATTAGTCACACTCAATCAATACTTTCTGCACTTCTACCTATTATCTTAATGTCACTGAGATCTAGCTGGATCTTCATACAATTCTTGCTACCACTTTAATTTCATTATAATGATGTGTTTACCTTGGTAATAGTTTAATCAAAATTGGATGTGTTTATAACACTGCAGCTTAGATTAACAGCTTAGTTCTATTTTACTACAAGGAAACCATAACATTGACTGTAATTCCTAATCAATATAGCTATAATTCTTAGAATTTTAATAGGTTTTTAAATGGCCTTGCCTGTGCTACTAAAGGTGACATGGCTATCCTGTAATTAGTCTTCGACAGAATCCATTTCCAATCAGTCAGTTGTTTCACTCTACTTCCAGTTGTCAAAAATCGCAGAATTTACTTACAGACATTTTTTCCCCTTTTTTCCTACCCCCTTTCCTCCACCCGGACTTGGCTGAATGAACGTGATATTATATTATGACAGCAAATAGTGAAACATTTCATGACCAAATCCATCGTCATAACGCACACGCCTACTGCGGAGGAGGTGCTGATGGGCTGTGCCTGCTGTCTCCTCTGGAGCCTCTGCCCTCGGGGTCATTGCCTTTCTCTCTACATCTCATCTCCTATGGGTGAGTGTTCCTCCAGTTTCCAAATCTACTTCTCTGTTCCAGGATTGTCACTATCAAGTCTTCACCATTTTTTCTCAAGATCAAGCTCTATTTCACTGTGAAGATCTTTGAGTTGAACTTGGCTCAGTCCTGAAAACTCAAATTGCGGTTTTCACAGAATGGCAAAATCAGTGCTCTGACCTCACTGGTCACATCTGAAAAGCATTAAACAGATCTCAATTCATAGATTAGGCAAAATTTATGTCCCCCTTTTCGGACTGGTTGCAAGCATTGCAGCATCACCGTGGACGTATCTCTGGTGGACAGAAGAGCTAGAAAAATGAGCTTCTGGACAGACAGTGCAAATCCTAGTGTTGTAGCACTATGCTTGTTCTTTGTGTGCTCTTTTATCACCTTGTTAGCTCTTTCTGAAGAGAATAAAACGGGATTGAGGAATGC